TCTGAATGGACTTGACAGGAAAAGGAAAACTGTAGTCTGTAATTTAGAAACATAAAGCTACTTATTTCTTCTAGGAACACACATTTTATTCAATTTCTCCATTACTTATTTATAGTCAGTGTGTGGAACATCCATGGTGCCAACTAAAAAAACGATATACTTGAAACCCTCCAATCAAATTGGATTTGTTCTACAAATCTAAGTATCAACATCTATATAATTTCTTGATATCTATGTAACTCGTAACTTAGGAAATGAATTACCAAATTAAAAGCAATTTTATAGTCAAAACCTAAATTTCTATTCTTGATTTATTTCCAATGTGTTTATTATAAGGAAACTTCTAGACGTATGTATAAATAGCTCCTCCGTTTGAAGCTCAGCAGATACCCTGGGAAATTCAGAGGCACTGTGTGTGAGGACTTCATCATTGCTGTATAAGGTCTTTGTCTTTTCAAATAAGGAAAGTGAAAGCCCAGTGAGTTACACTGTGACTCCAACATGAGGATTTGGGAAAGGTTCAATGTGTCAGATGCTGCTTCTGTCATCAATCCACAGGGAGTTTACTGACACTCCCAGAGTACCATCTCAGGAAAAATCCATTTGGACTAAGTGTTCCTCTCTTCCTCTGCCTCTCCCTCCCTCTTTCTCTCCCCCACCGCTGCCTCAACAAGACTTTATTAATAGCCCTACTCCATTTGAAGCTGACAATCCTGCTTCTGCCTCTGGAGTGCTAAGAACACAGGTATGTGTCACCATGCCCAGCCGCAAAGCTTATCATTAACAATCCTTCCTCTCCTCTTTGCACCGCCCTTCTGCAGCAAGGCTTCTCCATTGTTCCCGTCCAAAGTCATAGAATTAATTTTGCCACATTTCCTTCACAGAGGAATTTATACTTGGGAACAAATGTGTTAAAAGAAAAAGTCCTAGTATCAGTGAAATTTTTGGCATAACTATCATTTTGTGCTAGCTAATTTGGGAATGGGGATAATTAAACCTTAGACAAGTATAATTCATGACACTTTTTTTTTAAACATGAAAATTAATGCTAGAAGAACTGCAGTGAAAACACACAGGCTTTCCCTCTTACATATTTTAGAATACCGGTCCACACTGCTGTGAGGTTTTAACTTCATGTAACATGTGTTTCTGACTACGTGTGTACTAAGTCCAGGGAGGCTAAGCTCAGATCACTGCAGAATCCCCTAACTGTTAGCTTCATGGTCATTTGGAAGAGGGGATGAAAACCAAAGGAAAGGCTACATGTTTTCACATGAGAATGAATTCATAGGGCTGGCACCCACCAGCATGACACCCGCTGGCTTGTCCACTTGTCCACACCTATCCCTAAGCACAATTTTACTGAGTCACCAACAATGCTCTTTTCATTTCTTCTTTTCTTGTTCTGTTTGTTAAAAGGCACTTGCAGAGGCATAAGAATTACAGCATCAGAGTAGCTCACTGCCTCACGTGGGGAAGGCTTCTCCTTCAGAGAATCACGTGCACAACCACCATTGTTAGTCTTCCCGTTCTCAGACAGTTTACAGTCATTCAGCTGTTAGAATCTATTGCACACACCACCACACCCTGGAAAAGGGCAGAGTGTCCTTCCTTCTTCCTATATGGGGTAATCAATCAATTTAATAATAAGGCATCCAGTTTCCTACTTCCTACTTGGTGAGGTGTTTTTTTTTTTTTTCATTTATGTTCTGATGATTTTATCCCATTGGGTCTTTGTGAGGATTCATTCAATCACATGCATAAAATGCTTAGCAAATAAAAAATCACCTAGTGATTGGCAGCCATTACCATTGATTCACTAATATTTGAACTTGGAGACTGATGTCATCTCTGGGGAGGGAGTGGAGTTGGTTTGCTGAGAAAGGCTGGAGTTCAGAAACCAAGTTAATAATCATTGCCTAATTAAGTACATGAAAATCAATCAGAAAGACAAAAACAACCAGGGTAAGGAACCTTCGGTGAAACTTGACAAAAATATTGGCAAAAGAAAAGTGAGACATCCTCGAGCCTGATTTGTGTCCTGCTCAGTTTAGCTTACTGTCTTTGCATGCAGCTGAGAGCAGACATATAAACAGGAAAACATAGAAAAGATACCTTAGCCAGGTGTTAGTGGCACACGCCTTTAATCCCAGCACTTAGGAGGCAGAGGCAGGCGGAACTCTATGAGTTCAAGACCAGCCTGGTCTACAAGAGTTAGTTCCAGGACAGCCTCCAAAGACACAGAGAAACCCTGTCTTGAAAAACTAGAAAAAAAAAAATACCCTGAGGCAGAGGTATGTATATCTCGAGGCATCTGCCACACCTCTGCTAATTGATTTCTTAAATTAAAGGTAAAGGTGACAAAGATTCTTACAGTGCTTCAGGAATTTAACGAGTGGGTTTATGGGGACTGCTCCCATAATACTCTCTTTGTCATTAGATATCAGGGGACAATGTTTTTATACATTAATGGGTGATCAGTCAAGGCATTTTCTGCATTTTGGTTTTCTTCAAACCAGACGCTTTCCCACACCTCTTGACACCATAAACATCCTTCAGCTCCCATATCAGAAGACCTCGCTGTCTAGCCTCACCACCACATGTAACTTTTTTGCCTTTCCACTTCATAGCAAGCAAGCAATAGTATGCCACCTACAGGCATTCATTAGCAAGCCAGATTCCCAAGGTAGAAACCTCTGTCCTTGAAAATCCAGCTCTTGTTGTAGAATGTGCTTCTTTTGGGGATAGAAGCATTATTTGTAATAGCCATAACCTAGAAACAACCTTGATGCTCCTCAACTGAAGAATGGATAGAGAAAATGTGGTACATTTACACAATGGAGTACTACTCAGCAGAAAAAAAAAAAAACAAAAAAACAATGGAATCTTGAAATTCGTAGGCAAATGGATGGAAGTAGAAGAAACCATTCTGAGCGAGGTAACCCAGTCACAAAAAGACAAACATGGTAAGTACTCACTCATATATGAATTTTACACATAGAGCAAAGGATTACCAGCCTACAGTCCACACCACCAGAGAAACTAGGAAACAAGGAGGACTCTAAGAGAGACATGCATGTTCCCCTGGAGAAGGGGAAAGGGACAAGATCTCCTGAGCAAATTGGGAGCATGGCGGGAGGGGAGAGGGAGCTAGGAGAATGAGAAGGGGAGAAGAGGAGGGGTGAGGAAGACATAAGGGAGCAAGAAGGTTGTGTAGGGGGAAGAATAGAGGAGAACAAAATAAGAGATACCATCAGAGAGGGGGCCATAATAGGTTTAAAGAGAAATCATGCACTAGGGAAATGTCCAGAGATCTACAAGGATGACAGCCACTACTAATCTAAGCAATAGTGGAGAGGCTACCTTAAATGCCCTTCCCCTGATAACGAGATTGAGGACTAACTTATATGCCATCCTAGAGCCTTCATCCAGCAGCTGGCCATAATAGGTTTAAAGAGAAATCATGCACTAGGGAAATGTCCAGAGATCTACAAGGATGACAGCCACTACTAATCTAAGCAATAGTGGAGAGGCTACCTTAAATGCCCTTCCCCTGATAACGAGATTGAGGACTAACTTATATGCCATCCTAGAGCCTTCATCCAGCAGCTGATGGACGTAGAAGCAGATACCCACAGCTAAAGACTGAACTGAACAGGAATCCAGTTGCAGAGAAGGAGGAGGGATGAGCAAAGGCATCAAGACCAGGCTGGTGAAACCCCCAGAAACAGCTGACCTGAACAAGGGGGGTTCCCCAGACTGATAGCTGGGAAACCAACATGGAACTGATCCAGACCCCATGAAGGTGCGTGTCAGTAAGGAGGCCTCTGAAATCTATGGGGCCTCTTGTACTAGATCAGTACTTATCCCTAGCATAGGAATGGACTTTGGGATCTGATTCTACATAGAGGGTTGTTACTCCCTCAGCCTAGACACACGGGGGAGGGCCTAGGCCCTATCCCAAAGGATATGACAGACTCTGAAGACTCCCCATGGAAGCCCCCTAAAGCTGAAATGGTATGAGATAAGTAGGGTGCTAGTGGAGGGGACAGGAGAGGAGGGCAGAGATAGGGAACTGGGATTGACATGTAAAACAATCTTGTTTCTAATATAATAAAAAATGGAGAAAATAAAAAAAGAAAGAAAATCCAGCTCACCACCCAGCACTGCCGATCTTACCTTCTAAGTTCCTGCTCCTCTCAGACATTTCTTTTTCTCTCCTTTATGCTCAGTCCAATTTACCCTACACTCACTTCTCTCCTGGCCAGCTCCGATAGTTCCCTCACTTGTGTGACTGGACACCCCTTCTCCCTCAACATGGCCTTCTTCACCCTCAAACTATTATCTCATATTTACATGACTGCCCTATTACCACAATTCCAACGTGTGCTTAAGACTCATGGTAACTTTTAAAGATGAAGAGAGAGACAGACACTTTAATGTGGTTCCTCACTTGCCTCAGGCCCAGCAAATACCCCTTGCCATCCTCTGTGCCTAGTCTCTATCTCAGATCTTCCTCTCCCTTTTTTCCGGTGCATTCCTTGACTTCTTGACCACGTCTGTTTCCTGTCAAAGACTTTCATAACATCTTACAACCTTCTTACGTAGCCCCGTATGAAATTTTGATTCAATATCCTTTGACCACTTGATTGATATTTTCCCCTCCTACTACAAGTTCCCACGGAGAGGGAACCACATCTATGTTTAGTTTCCTGCTAGCCCCAGTCCAAGAACACTCACAAAGGTATGCATGATGTAGCAACCATACATATCCGGTAGTAAATATTTGTGGAATAGATGAATAAATAATGTGGGATAAGCATCCCATGAATCGAGTATACTTAGTGCTTTATAAAAAGAAAGAAAAGAATGGAAGCAGAAGAAAAATACTTCATGAGTGTCTTGCTTGCCATGTACAATAGTCTGGTTCACAAATAAAAACCATTAATTCCCATGCTGTAAGAATATGAGATTTTGCAAAAAGCGAACTAATGTGTCACCTTTAGCTTTAGCGAGTTGAGCTTCTCCTCCCTGAGGTGTTCTCTCAGCATCTCCCGGTGCAGCCGTTCCTGCTCCCTTGCAAACTCGCCCAGGGTGTACTGGCGCACGCTGTTGTGACGGCTGGACATGCCCAGAGTGCTGCCCCCCTGGCTGGGCACACTGGTGAAGCCCTGCCTCCTGGTGAAGTAGTACACGGTCACACAACTGAAATGCACATTCTTCGTCCTCAGCCGTTTCTCTCTTTTGAGGATGGAGGAAGCTGGAAGAGAAAGAAGCAGGTCAGTGAAGCCCAGGGCAGAAGCTCCCAGATGAGACCAAGAAACCCCCCTGGATCCGGAGTCCACTGAGGATTGAAATGTTTGGAGCCTTGCTGGCTTAAAAAATACTGAGCCTCAGAGCTGGCAAACAGGCCTTTTCATTTCCTTTCTTACGATTTTTTTTCTAGGCATAGTAGAGTAGATTTTAAATATTTTTGTAATGGCTGTTAAAGCAAACTTCTGGATAGCTGCCAATTATTTTTGGAATTAGCAGCAGAATTTAGTTCCTTATTTCCTCGAATCCCTTGAGCCTTGGTTTTCTGGATTTCACACAGGTAATATATTATGATCAGAAAAGTCACAACATGGAACCCTCCATACCTTGGGTATCATTTTTTTTTTGTTTTTTTTGTTGTTTGTTTGTTTGTTTTTTTGTTTTTTGAGACAGGGTTTCTCTGTGTAGCTTTGGAGCCTATCCTGGCACCCGCTCTGGAGACCAGGCTGGCCTCAAACTCACAGAGATCTGCTTGCCTCTACCTCCCGAGTGCTGGGATTAAAGGCGTGCGCCACCAATGCCCAGCAGGATTCATTTTTAAGAGTATGCTTTGCATTAAAAAAAAAATAACTTTTTTTTGTTTTTTTTGCTTTGTGTGTGTGTGTGTGTGTTTTTTTGGGGGGGTGGAGAGGTGCCTTGGTCCTGCCTCAATGAAATGATGGGGCAGACCTAGTAGACTTCCTAGGGGAGGCCTTACCCTCTCCGAGGAGCATATGGGAGGTGGGGAGAGTGGGAGGAGAGAAGGCAGGAGGAAATGCGATTGGAATGTAAAAAATAAATTAATAAAAAATAAATAAAAACCTATCAAATAAATGAAAGGAACAAGTTCTAGTAGTCTATAGAACAGAAAGGTGGTTATAGGGCACAAAGTTATTTAATATTTTATAAAGAATAAGAATAAAAGTACTCGGGGGTTCTAAAACAAAGAAATGGCAACTGCATATGGAAATGCTATTTATAGTCAATGGGTAATTGCACACTATATAGATATAGGTATTAACAGAACTGGCTGTGCACTGTGGATATGTATAATTGTCATGTGTCAATAGATGTATTGCTTGCAACACTGAAAAGATAAAATAATCCAAAGTAATCAAAAATCCATGAAAAACAGCTTACTGACACTACTTATTTTAACAACTTAAATCTAACATAGCTTTTATTAGGTAAAATAGAACCTGCCCTTTAAATAGCATTATAGACAATACTATTATAATACAAATATTAGGAGAACTAAAAATCTCACAGAATATTTCAGGACTGCTTTTTCTTCGTATTTTTTTTTTAATTTAACAAACTCTGTATGCTCTCATATACACAATGGAATTGCAAAATCAAATTAATTAATGTTATACATATCCCTGTATATTTTTATGTGTTGATGATTAGAACCATTCTTATCAGTTATGGGGACAGAGCAATGAGGAGTTTGTGTGCTCACTAAGACTGAGCAAAAGAGAGCCATATGTTATCAACAGGACCTCCCAAAGCTGGACCGCAGGATGAGCTATGTGGCAGAATCCTTTTATTCTATGGTAGAATAGCCCAGACTTAGGGAGACCAAATGACTTTGTTTAATATAATTAATGTTCAAAGTAAACTTAAACCTGAAAACACGCAAATTTTATGACTTAAAAAGGAAGAATATCATCCAAGAGAAAGAAATGCATCTTGACTGTTAGGGGTCTGATGTCTATGTCCCTCCCACTCAGCCACATTGAAGTCCTTTAGAATACAATCCTTTTGGAAACAGGATCCTAATACATATAGTCAGATGAAAATGAAATCATCAGTCACCCTAATCCAATCAGACAGGTCTGTGGTGATATCTTTGTTTGCACAAATAAAGCGAGTCTGAAAGATCAGAGATTTGAAGGAGCAAGCCATAGCCACACCTTATGTGGCCAATACCTAGCTGAAAAGAGATTGAGGTCCTGTATCCTCCTGCCTATAATCCTGTCTCTATCCAGTTCTCTCACTTCCTGTCTGTCTGTTAGCTCATGGCAAGCTCCACCCTCTGATCTTCAGATACGCTTTATTTGTGCAAACAAAATGTCACCACATAAGTGGCCTTACAGAAAGCTGAAACTGGAACCCTGACTTACAAAGAAGGGAGACAATGCAAAGAGACACAGAAAGGAATGCGGCAGGAAGTTGGTCACAGACACTGAGCTCCATGGCCAACAGCCAAGGATGCCACCAGAAGCAGGAATATGCAAGGAAGAACTCTTCCTTGTGAGGTTCAGAGGGACCGCCACCCAGCCAGACCTCCAGAACTGTAAGCAAAGAGACTTGTGTGGTTCTCAGCCATTCTCTTCACGGCGCATTTTTATGTAAGCTGCAGGAAAGCATGGAGGCACATGAAGGAGAGTGAATGAGAAGGCCTAGGACAGCAAGATAACACCATTGCACATTTGCTGGGACACTGATATGATGCATCTCACTTTGTAGGTTTATTTACATAGTGGACACTGATAGAGGGCCTCCTATGTGCCAGTGCTTTCTAGAGAGGAGACACCTGTGGAAATACCTGGACCATGATGCAACTAAGAGACTCGAAGTTCAGACCGTAAAATTTTCACATTACTGTAAAAATTCAACTTTCTTACCTACCTTCTTTTCTTTAAAAGAAAAACAATCCTTTTATTAATTTAATTGGCTGAGTGGATAGGGCACCCTTTTGTCAGGCTTGTTGGCCAGCTCCCTAGGCTCCTTTTTTGTTTTCGGTTATTTCACCTCTTCAGAAGAGATTTCCAGAATGTAAATGCTTTCACAGGTGTATATTACTTAAATACTTATTTGCATATCCTTGCAAATTATTTATTGCAGCATCCTTGTATACCTGGCAATAGAGACAGTTTTTAACTTTGATAGTAAGATGTTGCTCTGCTTCATAATGCTAAGCTTAAATCATCTCAACACAGCAAAGACTGTCGAGATGTAAGACATCCCCATACAAAGCAAAATTCTGCCTCCAGACCAGAAGCCCTCATCTGTCACTGATTGACAGCAGGTGAAGCAGGGCCCTCTAGAATTTAGGGGAAACCTTCTGCCTTTTCACTCTGGTTATATTAAAATGATAATCTTAAGACATTATCCTTAGGAGCCATAACTGTAGAGACCAGGGGAAGTATTTAATGTATTCATTTAGGGTTATTATCATAAATACCTCTGATAATTTGTGGCTTATGTTTTTAGAAAATCAGTGGCTCTCTAGACAAAGTATTTTTTATTTTTTATTTAATTTTTTTTGTTTGTTTTTGAGACAGGGTTTCTCTGTGACTTTGGAGGCTGTCCTGTCTAGCTCTTGTAGACCAGGCTGGTCTCGAACTCATACAGATCTGCCTGCCTCTGCCTCCCGAGTGCTGGGATCAAAGGCGTTCGCCACCATGTATTCTTCACCCATTTGGATATATCTATCATGTTACCCTTTCCCCAAAGCTAAATTAATGACCCTGTTTGGAGGCCGTTATGAGACTGGCAGTGTGGGAGAGGGCAGACACTCTTCAGCTGTGTCCTGGGGAGGACTAATACTGGAAGAGGGCATTAGCAAGAGTGCCGCCTACTGTATGCTAGGGGTTACAGTGCACACATGTGCTGATTGGTTGCTTTAATATTATAAGCAGCACTGTAAAGACAACGATCTAAAAACTGATGGAATGAAAGGCTCTGAAATACTCAAAACTCAGACCAATGGAGATTTCTGTGGGTTTCTAGAATGTTAGGAGACACCTAGGACCCTCTTCTAATGATTAAATCAGAGTCCCAGCATGGGCCATTAGGAGGCATCTCTTGCCTCCAGGCTTTACTATGACTAACTTCACAAGATGCAATCATAAAAAAAAAAAAAAGAATAAGAATAAGAATCTGTGTTCTTCAATCGTGGAAAAAAGACTAGCTTCACTCAGCACATCTGCCTTAGGGGATCTGATCGTCCCTGATATACCCATCTAGTCATTTGTGCCCTGTAGAGAATGAATGAACTCCACTTTGTGTCTATTGTGTTGGTGTAAGCTTTACTGCAGTGGGGTCAAGAGCAAGTAAAAGAAAGACAAGAATGTGGCTTTTAATGCTGCTTTCCAAAAGGGCAGTTTTCATATTCCACACCAATTTGAAGTGTCTTTCAGTTTATTTCCTTTCATCCAACCACAATTGCCACGGAATACAAAAGCATCTAAGCACAATGACACTACATCTACCTCCCAGAATACAGCTCTTGGGAGCACCCTAGAGCCTGTGTGGCAAAGGGAGACACTCTCTCAAAACCAAAACAACAAAACCCCAACAGTTGGAAAATGGATGAACACATAAGATCAAGGTAAGAATACAGATAAATCACAGAATCTATAACATGTTATATAAAGGAAGAACTCATAAATACACTGAATTGAAAATGTAAAGCCAAACACAAGAATTAGATCACAACTGACCATGTTTAAAAGAAGGAATTGCCTTGATTAGAAAAATATTCTGCATTTTCTGACCCTATACAAAACATGAGTTAAAATAAACAAACAAAAACTAGGCATTGAGGCACATACCTGTAATCCTAACACTTAAGAGGTGGAGGCAGGATGATCAGAAGTTCAAGACCACCCTGGTTTACATAGTGAGTTCAGGGCCAGATTGAGATCTTGCCTCAAGGAAAAAAAAGAAAGACAGAGAGAGAAAGAGAGAGAGAGAGAGGGAGGGAAGGAGGGAGGAAGGGAGAGAGGAGGGAGAAAGGAAGGAAGGAAGGAAATGATTATTGTCTACAGTCAAACTACCTGAGACATACATAATTGTAAATGGAGTTCTTAATTGGAGGGAAAGGCAGAGAAAGAGTCGCCAGAGAGATACCATATAGTCGACAAAGGAATAACATGTGGGAGCATTACGAGTAAGCCACAACCTTGTGGCAATACATAGTTTAATAGAAATGGGTTAATAATTAAGGGAGAGCTATAA